TATAAATACATAAATATTACAATTGATTTGGATTGTGTCACAAGCAACGACAACATTATCGGTACCCATAAATATACAAACCTAACAAATCTAACAAATCTACACAAAACACTCTATACATATATATATATATATCAAACTCTGTATATGTATATATATATATATATAGAAAGTTATCAACAATCGTTAACGGCTCCTCGTGCGTTGTTTATAAAGTTTGCCTTATCTACGTGTTTTTTGCTCGTGTTAAATCATTTTTGCTGTGCACCGAAAGAAAAAATAAAAAGAGTTTGTAAATTTTTACTCGTGCAACACACTCACTCACACACACAAACATATATATATATAAATATAAAAGACATTTATTTTTGTGTAATTGTATTTAGCCAACTAAGTAAGCGAATGAAAACAAATCACAAAAGTGAAAATTTTATAAAATGAATCTAAATTTGATAAACAATTATTATATTATTTCTCGGCCGATTTAGCTGCATGTATTTTTGAGATTAATTTCATTTTGTTGTAAATGCTGCATTGCTAGCAAACCTAGAAACAGGGGACATACAAACACACACACACCTACCCGGATATACCAACAATCTCACTCTTAATTAATTTATAATGTTTTTGTAATAAATTATTTTTCACTTAAATGAATTATTTTTCAATTCCATCTCTATTTTTTTCAGTATAAAATGACGTTTACTTTAGTCTAATTAAATTTGTTAAACATTTGCAATATATTGTCAATTATGATATTGTGAATCAGCTTCTGCTATTGTGAATTTTGAGATGTCTTATTAGACTTAGACTAATTAGATGATGCATTCTGTTATAACTTCTGAAACTATTCTGTTATTGATATTTTTGCTCATGGCTCTCATACTGCGAGCCAAGGCTAAGAAAAAAGCATAAGTTATAGTAGTTAATGAAGCTGGAAGCATTTATATTGATGTCACTAAAAAAAATTGAAATGTCTAGGGCAACGAAAAAATGTTGAATGAAAATCGAATAAAATATAGTCCATGATCATTTGGGCTACCGTCTAGATCTTTAATATATATGTTATGTAATATATATGCGTGTATGCTTGCATGATATTTGCTATATTGGCAAACGTCTAGGGCTCTTGAATCTTATGAAAAATTGATATGTATTAAAAATAGTATTAACTGCTTTCATGAAGGTCTTTAATGATTTCCTTGAATTATATGCAGTTGAAATGAGTGAGAACAAGTGCTATTAAAAACACTAAAATTACTATTATATATTAACTATTAATATCAGCTCAGACTAAAAAGCGTTAAGCAGCGTTAGAGTCTTGTAGACAGATTGACTTATACCATTTGTGGCGCCATCTATGTGTCGATTCAACCACATATTGAGCGTTGCAAAAAGCCAGCTATGTGTCAGTCTCAAAATCTAAGGTAAATGCGATTATTATATTAAATATTAAATTTTATTATAAAAAAATCCCAGAACTTTTTCAATAATACTATAAAAATTGTTTATAATTTTTTCAATGCATTTGTTTATTTAATTTAAAATTTATTTGATTAAATCCAATATCCCAATTTTTAAATATTATATA